AGGTTGATATAGTTTGATATAGATGATCCTTCCCTACTATGTGCCCTCCAGGTATGTTGAGTTACAAATCCAATCATGTCTTTAGCCAACACGCTGATGGCCATGCATCTGGAGGGCAAACCAGGGGACAATCCAGGGGGAAGTCATAATAGATAACTAGGTTTTCCCTGCTGATCCAGAATGAGTAAACTCTGATACAAATTGGCCTAAACTGTACATTGGAAAAATCTTTAAGATTTTGCAGCTTTCTAAATGTCATAATATAATTCACACCTTTAAAAGAATAAAAAAATGTATTTACAGATGTATAATTTATGTTAAAATATCTTTACAGCTGCAAAGGTGACACATATTTAGAAAAACGTATTTCATGAAAAATGCATTTGAAAATATTATTAAATATTTACAAATGCATTTTATATACTGATTTCTCTTCGAGCTTCAAAAATCTTACACACACACATATATAAATAGAGAGAGAATTTGTTTTTTTTCATGCACATTAATGTGCAAACAAGATGAAATTGAATTATGAATAAACACATATGAAAACAACTTAGGTTGGAAACAAAATGACCAATCTATTTGAACCATAATGCAGGTTTACCTGTGAATTTTCATCAGCATAACATTAACCTGATTATTTGCAGAAGTGAAAGAAGTATTGGAGATACACACAGAGCCTTCATAGCACCCAATTAAATATAACACAGTTGCTTCTAAAAAAGAGCCACCTCATTCATCCAATACGAATCACATGTTAAATAATCAACAAATGATCAATTCAGTCTGAGGAAAAACTTTACAGAAAGCATCATAAATTGCTATGAATACATGGTAATGACTCCCATAAAATGTAGTCATGAATATATCAGACTAATTCATGGAAAGCAGAAATATAAATAGCTTTTATTCATGACTGTTAAATGGAATTTCCTTCATCAGTGTCAGCATAATGATGGTTACAGACAAATTAAAGAAATGTCATTTCTTTGTGACCTGCTTGAGCACATCTCTAAAGCAGAGGTATCCAGCCCCCCTGTTTGTGGATGGGTACCAGTCCGTGGCCTGTTAGGAACCAGGCCACCCAAATGTTAGGAAAGTGAGCAAGGAAATTGGGTTAAAGGGCAGGAAATTTGCATATGCACTGCTCAATTTAGGTTGCTCAAAAATTAACATATAATATTATAAAAGTGGTTAATCCTAACAGAAGAATGGCTTTATTAATCCTCAATTCAATCTTGATTCCTAGCAAGTGCTTGGACAAGTCCATTCAGTTTTAGGACAAGATTTTGGTAGTGATTTGCCATTTGACCTTCTTGCTAGAGCTGAGAATGAGTGACTGCCCCAGTCACCCAACTGGCTTTGTGTCCTGGGCGGGAATAGAAGTCATAGCCCCCACAGTTTTGAACCAACAATCATCAAACTGACTGTTAACAGGACCTTTAGTCCATAAATAATATTTACTTTATGAGATGGTAACTCCACCCCCTCCCTGAAGAATGAAATATTTTGAGAAGTATTAAAAAAGGCAGATTATTATCTTTCCCTAAATGAGAAATGAAGAAACGTGTTTTTTTGGAGGCAGAAAGCACTCCCCCCCACTTTTCTTAATAGCTCCAGCAGACACTGAGGCCAGCTTTTAGAAATGCAGATATGTTAATCCATTCAAGACAGGATATTTTGAAACAAAGGCAGAATAGTAGGATTAAAAACAGTCATCACTCACGATCCAACACAGGACAAAGCCATTAAGCTACAATAGGAATTTTTGCATCACCCTCAGAGCAGTCAAAACTTCAACCAAACATAGCTTACACAAGCACCTAAGATTTGTACTTTAACTATAGAACCAGCTATGACTCCTTACATGGCCCCATGGGAGTCTGACAACAGCCAATAGAATACATGTTCTTGTACAGGAACAAGAAGCTCAAGTGCAAAGCTCACTCTCAACTCCATTTTGTCTGCTTCACCAGAACCATGTGTTTGGTGGTTCTGTTCATCATTAAAGCTTTTTTCCAATCAGCCTCCATGTTTCCAGTATCTTTCTCCCAATATCTTTCTTGGGACTGAACCAGATGGATATGTTTTTTCTTACAGTGCCATGATTCAGTTGCCAGCATGCCATTTTGTAAAATATGGATTGTGCAGTTAGAAGTGAACTGGATTGTGAAGTTTTTGTATTTTTGTTATCTTTATGCTGGGGTCCCTCCAGGGCAAAAAGGTTGACAAAGGCTGCCTTAGATAGTTGCAGTCTTTCATTGATCTCTGCAAGGCCTGTAGGGTAGATCATCAAGAGAATGTTCTCAAAACATCTTGAGAACAATGCAGTGAGGAGAGAAGCCATCATTTACTGTTTCTGTGACAACCAAGTCCTCCTTAGCATGTTCTGAATGACTTCGAAGACTCAAACAGCTTGCCCAGCAATTGCTGTTGGCTGTTCTTTCCTCCTCTTTTCTGAACATGGAAGGGAGAGAAATTAGGTGTGCCATAGCTAGGCCCCCAAATATTTTACAATCACCAGATGGCAGCAAAGGAATACAGGCGTACCTCATTTTCTAACGCTTCAGTTTATTCCGCTTCACAGATACTGTGGTTTTTTACAAGACCCTCTATCAACAGAAAGATTGTAATTCAGTGAGGCTCAGAGGGTGATTAGCATTTTTAGCAATGAAGTACTTTTTAATTAAGGCATGTACAATGATTTTTTTAAAGCATAGTGCTATTGCACATTTAATAGACTATGTGTAAATATAACTTTTATGTGCACTGGGAACAAAAAAAAAATTGCTGTGACTCACGCTATTGCAACATTTGCTTTATTGGGATGGTCTGGAACCAAACTGCAATATTTTTGAGATATTGCTGTATAAAGAAATTTCTAATTCTTTTCTCCCACCTGGAATTTTGCAGCCCAGATGAAGCCTTATCTTAGAGCAGGGGTGTTAAACTCGCATCATCATGGCAGTGTCACATGATGTATCACAACTTTTTCCCCCTTTGTTAAACCGGGCATGGGCGTGGCCGGCACGTGACGCATCTGGTCCACAGGCCGTGAGTTTAACAGCTCTGTCTTAGAGTAATTTATTTATGGGGATTTGATAATACCGTTGTGAAACATAAAAAAAAACTTCAAACAATATCATCCACAAGAGAGCCAAGACATCATTCTACAGTGCAGGAGACAGAAGAATGAATTTAAATTACAGGAAGGCAGACTTCAGTTGAATATTAGAAATATATTGTGATGCTACAGATGTTCACATCTTGATTTTTAAGGACACATTTTTGCTTGTTTGTTTTAGATCTTATTTGCTGTCTGGCCTTTTCTTTATTTCTGAGCTCTGTAGCACTGTAAGATTCCAATAATAAATAAATAATAAAGTCCAGAAGACTCAGCATATCACCAATTCAGTAACCGTGTGCTGAAAATTTCAAAAGATCTTCAACCTTACACATACCATATACATAAATAAATAGGCAGGCGAGCACCCGGTGCAATCAAACCATAGCCTGCAATGCCTGGAAAGGTTGCCATCTCTGACTTTACTTAATGCTTTCTGATCCATCTTGGCACCATACCTGGCCCTCCTGCAGATATTCATTACAAATACACATCCACAGTCTGAGGTCCATTTCTCTCTGTCCTCCTCCCCCCATTCTCCACAAGCTTGGAAAAAATGTTTGGGGGAGGGGTTTGCTTTTTGCTTTTGCTCATGCATTGAACATCTGAGGCAGTATTTCTTAAAATTTTGCTTTTCCATTCACCACTTTTAAAAATTATGGCGGACCGCAAAGAGCTTTCATTTGTAGAGCTTATATGTTATCAATATTCACCATATTAAAAATTAAAATAATCTACGCATATGATATCTATTTATTGAATAATGTAAAAATAACAATATTAAACATATTTTATTTATTCATTCATTCAATTGGAAATTTTATATTGCCACCTACTCGCTCATGGCGACTCAAGGTGGCTTACAGGAAATAAAAACACAATATAAAAGAAATGAAAATAATAAAAAATAAAAATAGTAAAATCATGAAATAATCACCCCCACCTCTACCCTGGCGAAAACACACAGTTATGTCAGCCATTTAATGGGTTCCATCCTGCTCTGGGTTCCTCAGCTATTATTAGATATGAACATAAATATTTTTATTTAAAAAGACTATTTTTAACAAATGAATTATAATGAGAATGTTTGCATACAACTTCAATCTCTGGCAAATAATTTTGGTTTTCTGAATCCCTGGGTGGGTGTTGAGTGTTTAAAAAGCACTGATATAGGAGATACCCCCAAATCAAGCTTGCAGCCTGTAAAGTGCATGTACCACCATTTTTAAATTACCGTTAGAGGCTTCTTCCCCAAAATTTCATTACCAAAATTTATCAAAACTCCATAATTTACAAATGTGATTCTTCTGCTATGCTGGAACCATTGCAGACATATAAAGACACAAAAGTTGTAGTAAATATATAGAGATATAGACATACATCTGTTTTCTTAAGTTTTCGCGGGTACTTACACGTATGGCATTCAGCTTTGTTCGGGTATTTTCCCACGTCATTGTAGTTGTGCTTTTAAAGTGGTAGCAATGTTTCGGCAGAATCTCATCTGCCATCATCAGGCTTCTATATAGGGTTCATCTATAAGCACAACTATAATGACGTGGGAAAATACCCGAACAAAGCTGAATGCCAGACATATATCTCTATATATGTCTCCAACTACCAAATACCTGTGCCTGCTTTAAAGCATAACTATATGTTCCTACATTCCCTTTGCCCATTTTTTCCCTCAGTGCACTTGTGTATTATGGATATTCCCAGAGGCAAGGGAGAGGTGTTTAAGTACCTGTCTGAGATATTGTGACAAAATATACATCTGCAGGATTTGCATGATAAACGACCCTTACACTGTTTTGCCACTGCTTTTCCAAGATAAAAAGAGAGACAAGAACAAGAAGAGGCACTAGTTGTCACTTACCTATAAGGTATTCAATCCAGAATTGGTCCTTCTCTGGATTGTATGCACGAGTGAACGTAATCTGAATGTGGAAAGTCTGTCCTCGGCGCACAATCAGTTTGAAATTGTAGTATTTGTCTGTGTGGTGCTCCTTCTTATTAATTTCATATTCACGGCTGAATACCTGGACTGCTTGGACTTCCAGAATATCTTTAAGTAAACAGAAATAGAAAACATCATATTTTAAAGCTAGCACAGCCATTTCCCCACAATTCATTCAATTTGCTTAATGTATTTCACAGAAAATTCATACTTATGTTAGTTGGCAATTTCTTTGCATTTGAACAGGCTATTGGATTGAGAGGTAAAGGATTTTTCTCAAATATCTGAGGATAAATGTGAGTAACTACCTTGTGAGAAAAAGTGGAGATACTTTAAAATCTATGCTTTTATCATTTTAGAGGAGACAAACAGGATCCTCCCCTTTATTTCCTAAATTATCCTTTGTTTTAAGGCAGAAATTCCCCACCCGTGACTTGTTAAAGAATAAAACAAGCCAATCAAGCTACCAATTTTGTGATAACTTCCTACATTATTAAAAGTCTGAGCCAAGGGACATGACAGTGAACTATTATGATTATTTTCCACCTCTATCATTGATTGAAGTAATACAAATTAAATGCCAGGAAACTGGTGTTATGGGATATTATATTTAGCTTTGAATTTGTCAGTTTTGGACTTGCTACGTCTATTTTAACTTATTTATTTTTTCATATTCAACTAATATATTATGCTTGCAACATTGTGAAGATCTATGTCATAAACAATCAAAACTAAATTGAGCTGAGTTTAGCAATGAGCCATGCATTTATTCTCATTTACTATACAACAAAGGGAGCATCTCAGATAATATATATGATTGAAATACCAGTATAAATTAAGAATTCCAGCAGTGCTCAGTTTCTTACGATCTATAATATATGTTTTTACATATTTGAAAAAGAAGTTACTTTTCCACATTGTTTAATATTTAAAAACAGCATTCAATAAACATATTTATCACGACTGTTTAAGTTATTTGGATGTTGTGTCAGGCCCTGTAGCTTGGAACAGTGAGCATTACTTTTCTTCTTGGTGTCCTTTTAAAGAGACGTTCAGCATTCACACATGATATACATTAGCGGCTATTTGGATATTTCTTTTTGTTTGGCTGAAAATATGACCCTGGCTTGAAAAGGATATTTTATTTATTGACGTGGCTCTAGACCCCACATTCTTTAAAATGTTCTCTGGCTTAATGAGTGTTCATATCATGCCTTTCATTTAATATTAGCAGGTTTCCAAAATTCTGTTTTGAACAAAAACCTCTCAGTTTCATTGTCTTTTTACTTAGACACACAGTTGACAAATGTTCTTCCAAGTGACTGCCCTGTGATGTTGGAAGAAATCATAAGATCTGAAGTTTTATTTTGAAGAATGAATGATGTAGCAAATTTCTAAACCTCATGACACAGGGTGGGAGCCAGCAAAACTACACAACCAGTTTCTGCAACTTTGGCCAGTGAATACATGTGAAATTGTACACACATGCTTTTTATGAGGTCCTTGGTGTTCCCTGAGCTTGATTGTTGGCTTGTAGATGACATTACTTTATGTTTTCTAGTCAGGTAAGTCAACAACCAAGTCTGCGAGTCAACAACCAAGCAAGCTCAGACAGCACCAGGGATTCCACAGTTCAACCTCTCTTCTATTGGAAACAAATTTTGCCAGACCTGTTTTCCACAAGAACAAGCACAAACAAAATATATCTGGGAATGGGGAAGTGGGGTGGGGGTTCTTAAAAGCTACAGGAACTGCTGATTTATCTGGTATAACTGCTGCAGTCCTTATTAACAGCTCTTCTCAGCTTTTCCCATTCCCAACTACAGGACACCAGACTTCTGACCTTAAAGGAAGCCTCATCAATGATGCAGACCCTTTGAAGACAGATAATGCAGCCTGGAGGCAATCCTACCACTTCCAAATTAAATTTTAATTCAACAGCTGAGCACCCTTATTGTAATGTTGAAGCAGAGTCCTGTGGTTAGTCTAGGAAAATATACCGCTCTTTATGTCATTGGCCATTGCAAAAACACTTTAATAAGGCTCGTCTTTAGACAGACTAAAGAACCTCAGGACAGTAGCTCCCAAAGGATTAATCACCTAGTATCATTCTAATAAACCCATGTTGCAAGCTGATTTGGGTTTTATAACACATATTCCCAGTAGATATTTCCACCCTGCCAAAATGTAATTTAAACTGTGTTCTGCTGCCCCAAGTAGCATATGAATCAAATCTCAAGAGAAGAGAAACCCTTTATTTTCCTGGAGCATGGTCATCCTCAATTACGTCAAAATATCTCCAATTTAAAACCTCAGTTGCTAATACCAAGGCTACACTCTGATTTATACTTGAAAATACATAGGAGTGCGGTAGGAGAAGGAATACCAGGTATAGCCCTAGGATTTTATGTCTACAAAGCAACTTCTCCACCCCTCCTCACCCTGGCACAGCATCCCAAGTCTCTCTCACATGATGCTCCTCAAGCTACATAAATCTGCCACTAGTTGGCAGGAGACAAAGTTTTCTGAAAATCTGGTCCTCTCTATTTTTGCGGTCCATGTATGGAATATAGTGAGGAGAGGGTGAAGGGAGACTCTGTGAATGAAAAGAAGGACTAAGGGTGACATGATAGTACTCTTCCAATATCTCAGGGGCTGCCACAAAGAAGAGGGAGTCAAGCTGTTCTCCAAAGCACCTGATGGCAGGACAAGAAGCAATGAATGGAAACTAATCAAGGAGAGAAGCAACCTAGAACTAAGGAGAGATTTCCTGACAGTTAGAACAATTGATCAATGGAACAAAAGTTGCCTTGAGAAGTTGTGTTGTGGTTCGTTAGCAGCAGGTGCGGACAGTTGAGGTCTCTGAGAGCAAGGACTCAGATGAGGGGCCTGCGTGTGTTTCAGGGATGGGGCCAGGACTATCACAGAGTGGGGTGCTGCCTTCGGAGCTTGTGGAGTCTGGCAGCAGTGATGCAGAGGACCCCGAGGAGCCTGTGCCCAGTGTGTGCTTGCTCAGGGCTGCTCAAAGGAAAGAGCAGCTGCAGCAGCACAGGCGACTTGGGAGTAAGGCTGCAAGGTGATGGCCCCTTCCCTTAAGGGATAAAAGCCAGCCCTCAGAGGTGGGATTCTTTGCAGGAAGCAAAGAAGTTCTTGCACTTCAAGTTATCATGGAAGTTCAGTCTATCCTGGTTTGTTTTCGGAAACTTTTGGCTTTGAATATTTCCTGGCAATTTATCTTGTGTTCTTGGCAGCCTTGCACAACCTTGACAGGGCTTGCTTTTATCTGGGACAGTTAGTTTTAATAGCATTTTACTATGAATGAACGGAATTCACAGAGACACATTAAAAAGGGTTTTGCTTTTATGTCTGTTTTGCATTTTTTTGATTTGAACGAGGCTTGGGCCAGAACAAATTGTGAATACTCCAAACTGAAAGTTTTTAAGAAGAGATTGGACAGCCGTTTGTCTGAAATGGTATAGAGTTTCTTGCCTAAGCAGGGGGTTGGACTAGAAGACCTCCAAGGTCCCTTCCAACTCTGTTATTCTATTCTATTCTATTCTATTCTATTCTGTTCTATTCTATATGTGTAAAAATGCAAAATTCTGTTAGATATGAATACACAGTGACATTCTAAAGACATAGATCTGGCTGGAAAAAAAAGAAAGCAAAGATGAGGAATACATGGGCAATTTTCTCAAAAGATGTAAGGAAGAAATGATGTGCTTCAGGGATTTATTTTGGGATCTTGCTTAAAGTTACTTGTAAATATTCTTGACTTAGTCATAAGCAGTGAACCAAATTTGTGGATGATAGTACACTGCTGATGCAATAAAAACCCAATGTGGCTAGAAGGACTCCAGAAGAATATATTGTAACTGGGTGATTGGTCAACCAAATTGCAAATGAAATTTAATACAAGTAAATGTGAAACTGTGAACCCTTCTCCCCAAGATCTAATAGTTTATATGCTATTTATAACTAATATCCCAAAGATTTAGGGAATCATAATGGAGATTTTAGTGACAACACAGTGCGCAGCCAATTCCATCCTAGGAATCATGTAAGAAGGAAAATGGAAATAAAGCCGCCAACATTGTAATGAATTTAAACCTCTCCATTGTATCTCTGCATCTGTAATGCCCTTGTATAAAGCTATTGAGCAACTGCATCTCATTATTATTTGAAAAAGGAAATAAAGCAGCTGGAAATAGTGTAGAGGAGGTCAACCAAAGTTGTCAGAAGGCTCAAGTTCCTTTACCATGAGAAAATGCTAGAAAGTTTGAGAGTCTTAGGTGGGAAAAATGATGGCAGAGCCACAATTGAGGAGGTGTATAAATTTATGTGTGACATGGACAAAGTGAACCACTTTGCCCTCAAAGGATCAGCAATCATCTAATAAAGTTGATTAGAAAGAGATTTAGAGCAGACCAGGAGTGGACTTCAAAAATATCAGCCACCAGTTCTCTGCCTGGTTGATGGGTGGGCCTGGCCTAGTCGACCTCCTGTACCACAGCGAGAGGACCATTTTCACCCTCCCCAGGCTCCGGAGGCCCTCCGTTTCCAGCCTTCTGGAACTTCCAGGACGCCCGTTTTTCATCCTCTCCAAGCCTCCATGCGGCCCCTGTACTTACCTGGCATCCAAAACAGGCCACGTGGGGACTCGTGGGAGGGGAGGGGCAGGGGGGGCAGGGCCAGCCAGGTGTGGGATTTGTGAGTTCACTGAATTGCACAGAATCTTAGCTAGAGGATCGCCTGAACCCCGGCAAACCCACAACAGCCCACCCCTGGAGCAGACATAAGGAAACACAGTAACAATGTCTGTGATGCATTATCAAAAGACGTAGTGCTGGCTGCTAATTTGGATGTTTTTAAATGGGGGAGTTGGATAGATTTATGGACAGTTCTTATGCAGGACTACTAATCTTGGAGATTCAATATTATCTGAAGGTTATGAGCAACACACCTCCCAAATTCAGTTTCACAAGAACAATTGAACAGGAAAATGTTTGTACCATTACGAGCGCTCCAGGAGTATCTGAAGTCCTGAGCTGTTGTACAAGCAAAATTACTTTATTTAGATATACGATCTACTTGGTTTTGTAATATTA